CCCCAAAACCCCAAAACCCCTCGATAATGAATTCTTGATATTTTAATTGATGTGTTTATTAGAAAATTGAAAGTAAAGTTTTATAAAAAGTGAAGTAAAATGTTTTCTGAATTAATAATTTAAATCTTACGCACGAATAGAAAGTGATTGAAGAAGCTCAAATAATTAATCCTTTAATTAAAGATTAATTTCCATTGCCGCTAATAACATTGTTACTATTGTTAATGTTTGCGAATTTTTTCTTTAGAGCTATCTTCTTTTTAGTTGAAGCAACCAAAGATTTCCCAACTAATCTTGCTAACTCATTTTAAGCTCCTAACGCTTAAGGATTCTTTGAAGTTTTCTGTGCTGATTACTTTTGGCTTGTTATGTTAGAATTCAAATTTTTCGTTTTATTGGAGTTTTGCTTCTTTAAATCGTTTGGTGTCGTTGGGAGTTGCTTTATAGTTTCTTCATCCTTTGACTCTTCAATCTCCGTCATGTTTATAACTGGAGTATTCGACTTTGTGCTTGGCCTCTCATCACTTGAAATATTACCTGGTTTTGAATGAGTAGGTTGTGGACTTGTGATGTTATAAGAGGAAGAAGTTAAATTTGTTGATAAAGGACTCTTAGTCATTCTTGAAGCTATCTTACTTGATTTGCTTGTGGCTGAGTTAACGGCATATTAAGGTCTCTTCATCAATTCACTTTTTCTAAATTCAATCTATATTTATCCAATTTCTAGTTCAATATTTTGAGGTTGCTAATTATACTAATCTCGAGGGTTCTACTAATTTTTCATACTTCCCGATTTAGGCTAAGCAATACCAAATGGAGATGATTGCTGACTCTTCTATACTCTTTTTACTCTTACTTAAGTTTTCTACTTAATACTCTTATTTAGCATATTGAGCATGTTTTGGTCATCCATTATTTGCGAGAATTCCTCATTTTTATTGTTATTAGTAGATACCACTGATGGCTAAGATTCAATAACTACATTTTGATTGTCTAGTTAAGTAAGGCTTGCATAGGATTATAAATTGATGTTAGTTCTAGGAGTAGTTGTCCTGCTAGTTGTCTAGCTGCTTCTTTTAATTTTCTATTCCATTTGTGGCGCAATTCTGGTGTTCAAATTGGATATCCTGACTTCAGAATTATGCTCTTCAATTTCCTAGGAGTTGTCATTGCACTCATCTTCATCAACCAATGTCAATTAAGATGAATTTCTTCTGGGACTTGCTTACTTTTTTTCGTCATTTGAGACACTTGGCATAACTTTATGATGAAGACTCAAATAGCTTTCATGCGATTTCACAAAGTTCTCCTAACTTGGATTAATTTTTAGAGTTTTATTGCTTGGAGATCTTAAAATGATTTTAGTTTCAGGATTAACTAATCTCGGAGATAGCTGACTCCCAATGCTGTTCCCTTTTCCGGCATCCTTCAAATTTTTTCCTATTCTTAGAAGAGATGGTGTGAATATTGCAGGTCTTTCACCAGATTAGCACTGCATCCTCCTATTTTTTCCCATTACTAAATTTACTTCCTCATTTCTCGGGACATCAAGAGTTTTTGGTCTTGAACATGATACTCTTTTGCCGTTTCCTTAGGCTCTCAATTATCCTATCAATATTTTAAACTATGGAGGATTATTTACTTTGCTAGAATCTGATCTAGAAATCTTTATTAACCTTTTCACCTTCGTATGGTTTATCCCTATTTTCACAGCAAGAATTAGCTCCGCCCATTGAATAAATATAAAGAATTTTTATTATTTAGGATTTTAAAGACTCAAAATGCTTTTATTTTAATATTCAACCTATTTAAATCAATATTATTATCGTCAAATATATGATGGACGGGGTTTTGGGGTTTTGGGGTCACGTGATATTCCT